ATAGTATGAATAGAGATTTATAAATGGTAGATATTTACCATATCGATCACCTTTGATGATCTTCGTGCCTTATTTTCAAGGATGTAGTTTTCCAACCAAGGAGCAGGCAGTTTAATTCTTTTTCTTTCTAGCACCACAAGCTTTCACATCAGCATTTTTTTATCCCCTGCCCTACAACCTACATATCAATATGAACAAGGAGAGCTATATAAGGACTCAATAGCTTGGTTTATAAAGATTGAGGACATACTTATAATTTACTCCAAAAAAAAGTAAGCAATTATCATCCCATTTTCTCCATTATTCATGGCAATAATAGAGAGAGGAGCTGCATCAAGCACAAGGTTTGTAATTGCAGAGTCTTGTTGGAGCAAAGGATCAGGAGGAGTTGCATCAATTTTAATATTGATTGCTACTCCAAAAGGGCTGCCTTGTTTCACCAAATGAGAATTGGCAAGATTTGGAGTTGGACTTGCATCATCACTTCTACAAGATTTTGCCTTGGTACTGGAGATGTTATTCATATAAAGATTTTGCATCATCAATTTTAATTCGATTCATCTCTTGCATGATTGAGGGTTATCCCATGTAATTCATATAAAGCAACTTCAACACGAGATCGACACCTAAAATTTAATATATTGTGGTGGTAGTACTGCAACACCAAACATTAATTTTAATATATGCAATTTAAAAGCTTAATATATATTGTTCTAATGTCTCATATGACTCACTTAAACTCAACCCAATGAGAAAGTTCAATGAGAAAGTTCAATAATAGTATGAATACGCATTTATAAATGATAGATATTTACCGTATCAATCAGCTTAGATGATGCTCGTGGTTTATTTTCAATGGTGTAGTTATCTAACCAGGGAGCAGGTAGTTTTATTCTATTTTTCGTTCTAGCACCACGAGCCTGCACATTTGCTTTTTTTATCCCTTGCTTTATAACCTGCATATCAATATGAAAAAGAAAGCTATATGAGGACTCGATTGCTTGATTTATAAAGATTGAGGACATCCTTATAATTTACTCCAAAAAAAAGTAAGCAATTACCGTCCCATCTTCTCCATTCTTCATGGCAATAATCTCATTCTTCATCCCATGGTATTTTATGGAAGGAGAAGCTGCATCAAGCACAAGGTTTGTAATCGTAGAGTCTTGTTGGAGCAAAGGATTAGGAGGAGTTGCATCAATTTCTGTATTGATTGCTATTCCACAAGGGTTGCCTTGTTTCACTAAATGAGAATTGGCAAGAGTTGGAGTTGGATTTGCATCATCACCTACACAAGATTCTGCCTTGGCAAGATCTCCTTGCATACAAGGAGTAGCAAGAGTTGCATTGATAGCACACTTTGTAGTTGTAGGGGTCACATAGTCTTGTTGGAGCAAAGGGTTAGGAGGAGTTGCATTCATTTCAGTATCGTTTGTTTTTCTAGAAGGGTTGCCTTGTTTCACTGAAGGAATAATAACAGGAGTTCGAGTTGCAACAAAATCTTCTTGCCTACAAGAAGTGGGAAGAGTTGCACTGATTGCAAACTTTGTGGTTGTAAGAGTCACAGGGTCTTGTTTGAGCAAAAGATTAGGAGGAGTTGCATCCACTTCAATATTGTTTGCTATTGCAGCTAAGTTGCCTTGCTCCACTAGAGGAATGGCTGGAATTGGAGTTGCATTTGCAACATCTTGTGGCATACAAGATGCAACTTGGGTTGCATTGATTGAATATTTTTTAGACTGAGAGTCTTGTTGTGTTGAAGGAGCAAGAGATGGTGTTTCTAGTGTTGCTTTGCATTCTTGGTATATTGCCTTCAATGGTTTAGAAAGATATAGTTAGACAATTACAATTGTAAAGATAGATTTAAAAAACAATGTGAGAGATGAGATTGAGAAAAAAAAATGCTGTTAATTTTGATTATGAAAATAGGTTTACTGAAAACTAACCTCGTAGTTCCTAATTCTAGTAATGTTTTCAAAAGAAATTTCAAAATCATGGGCTTGTGCAATTGGTGCGAAATTGAAACCCAACCAATTAGTTCCTTCCTCTTGAGTAGGTTTGTGGAGTGACATTTCTCCCTGCATTGACAAAGAGGATGTTGAGTTATTATTTATAGTACTCTTAACTTTAGCAATATTCCCAAAAGCATGTGGAATTAAGAAAGTGAAGAGGGAAAGTACTAAATCAATTCAAGCTAACATTTAGATGAATAATTTTAGTAAGA